AAAAACGAAAGAAAAATAGATATGCGACATACTTTTTCAACCCGTTTCCCACTCCTCTAATTCCGGCCACTCGTTCGTCCCTCAACTTTACCCAAAGAAATCTCCCTAAGCTGTATAATTCCTATTAGTGGATTCTAAAAGTCAGGTCTCCGTGCGCATTCAGTGTGTCTTGTGTTATTTCCCGTTTGCCTTGTCCGATCCTCGCTCTGAATACTCTGTTACATTTCTTCTTCTCCGTTATTTCTTTTCGCTTCTTGGTCGTTGTTCTTCTCGCTGTTGAACATTGGAGGGATAGTTGTGAATAACGATCACCGTGGGAATGGTAAATGACAGAAATGGTGACATATAATTGGTAGTTGGATTAACGATGATGGCAATCATGACTGCCACGACAAGTCATTTTTATAGTAAGGCAATATTTATTAATCTTATTAGTATGGGATTCTTATGATAGTGATAGCAATGAACTTCCAACACAAATAATGATTAAGATTTTTATTATTATTATTATCATTGATGTCCCAAAATTCATCGTAAGAATAACGATATGATTACTTGTACCTTTTATGATTATTATTGATATAATTAGTATCATTACGGTTATTTTTTATAATTATTGTTTTCATTCCCGTCGTTATGACCATGATGATGATCATTATCATCATTATTATTATTATTATTAGTTATTTATTATTATTATTATTATTATTATTATTATTATTATTATTATTATTATTATTATTATTATTATTATTATTATTATTATTATTATTATTATTATTATTATTATTATTATTATTATTATTATTATTATTATTATTATTATTATTATTATTATTATTATTATTATTATTATTATTATTATTATTATTATTATTATTATTATTATTATTATTATTATTATTATTATTATTATTATTATTATTATTATTATTATTATTATTATTATTATTATTATTATTATTATTATTATTATTATTATCATTGATGTCCCAAAATTCATCGTAAGAATAACGATATGATTACTTGTATCTTTTATGATTATTATTGATATAATTAGTATCATTACGAATATTTTTTTATCATTATTATTGTTTTCATTCCCATCGTTATGACCATGATGATGATCATTATCATTATTATTATTAATATTATTATCATTGATGTCCCAAAATTCATCGTAAGAATAACGATATGATTACTTGTATCTTTTATGATTATTATTGATATAATTAGTATCATTACGAATATTTTTTTATCATTATTATTGTTTTCATTCCCATCGTTATGACCATGATGATGATCATTATCATTATTATTATTAATATTATTATTATTATTATTATTATCATTGATGTCCCAAAATTCATCGTAAGAATAACGATATGATTACTTGTATCTTTTATGATTATTATTGATATAATTAGTATCATTACGAATATTTTTTTATCATTATTATTGTTTTCATTCCCGTCGTTATGACCATGATGATGATCATTATCATTATTATTATTATTATCATTGATGTCCCAAAATTCATCGTAAGAATAACGATATGATTACTTGTATCTTTTATGATTATTATTGATATAATTAGTATCATTACGAATATTTTTTTATCATTATTATTGTTTTCATTCCCATCGTTATGACCATGATGATGATCATTATCATTATTATTATTAATATTATTATTATTATTATTATTATTATTATTATCATTGATGTCCCAAAATTCATCGTAAGAATAACGATATGATTACTTGTATCTTTTATGATTATTATTGATATAATTAGTATCATTACGAATATTTTTTTATCATTATTATTGTTTTCATTCCCATCGTTATGACCATGATGATGATCATTATCATTATTATTATTATTATCATTGATGTCCCAAAATTCATCGTAAGAATAACGATATGATTACTTGTATCTTTTATGATTATTATTGATATAATTAGTATCATTACGAATATTTTTTTATCATTATTATTGTTTTCATTCCCATCGTTATGACCATGATGATGATCATTATCATTATTATTATTAATATTATTATTATCATTGATGTCCCAAAATTCATCGTAAGAATAACGATATGATTACTTGTATCTTTTATGATTATTATTGATATAATTAGTATCATTACGAATATTTTTTTATCATTATTATTGTTTTCATTCCCATCGTTATGACCATGATGATGATCATTATCATTATTATTATTAATATTATTATTATTATTATTATTATTATCATTGATGTCCCAAAATTCATCGTAAGAATAACGATATGATTACTTGTATCTTTTATGATTATTATTGATATAATTAGTATCATTACGAATATTTTTTTATCATTATTATTGTTTTCATTCCCGTCGTTATGACCATGATGATGATCATTATCATGACAAAGCGGAACCAATCCACAAAAGGGAACTGACGCTCATCATAAGCTTTGCACTTTCACTATCTTCACCAAAAGGAAGCAA